GTTATTCTGGAGAGAGGGTCTAGAAACCTTTTCTGCCTGGGCCTGTCTCACACTGAGACGCTCCAGACCTCTGCCTTCCAGGTGGGTAGGATGACACGTGAGCCGCTAGCGCCTCACGGCAAACACTCTGATCTGTGGCTGGATGAGCCACAGGTGCAGAGGCTGCAGGCGCAGAGGGCTACGTACACGCATGAGGGCAGCCATCAGGTCAGGGGTCAACAGCACAGGGTGTGGGGGGGGGCAGGGCCCAGTCCCACACCCAGGTGCCCAATGAACCAGGAGGAAATGCAGCGGAGTGTCTGATGGACCGGCTCCTCGGGGAAGGCCCCCTGGGGGGACACAGGAGCTGGACACGGGGCAGGACACAGGAGCTGGACACGGGGCAGGAAGAATCGGGGCCTGGGGACACTCAGCAGAGGAGGCAAAGCTGAGGCCCTGGAGGGGAAGGCTGAGCCCTGTGCCCAAGGTGGGCACCTGCCCCTTGTCCCTGTGCCCGGATTGAGCACCACCCGTGCCGCAGAGCTGAGGGTCTCGAGGCGGGGCCTCCCCTGGGGACCCCAGGCCCCGCAGCGTTCCCAGGGCGGCTTGCGGACAGGTTCTAATACCCCTGGGGCCTCACACTCCGGGGATGGAGGAGAGACAGAAGGTAAGCTGCCATGGAGCTCTTCCTGCCACTATCTGCGAGGCTGGCGGGCGGCACGGCAGGGCGTAGCTCGGCACTGAGTGACCCCCAGCAGAGGCCTGGCTCAGTCCCGCTCTGTCCTGCGCTGCCCCCAGGATGGACGTGGGCATCACTAAGGACAGACGGCCCCAGCGGCTCGCCCGAGGAAGCGGCTGGCTCTGCCCTTGGGCGTCAGAGGCCAGTGCCCCGGCTGGCCGTGCGCACGGGGCAGAGCGTCCGCTCCGAATGCCTAGCCAGCCCAGGCAGCTCCAGCTACCACACAGCCCTTTCGTCACTCCCAGCCAAAGGCAGAAGTTACGCACTGACTCAGACCCCCGCCCCGTGACTCAGCCTTCTCAGCCGTCCAGTCTGGCTTGTGCAAGCTGACCCGGAGCCCGGCCGCCCAGGCCCCTCCCACACACCTAGGAGGAATGCTGTCTGGCGGCCTCCCACTGGCTGCCAGGAGGCGGCTGACCCCTGGCTGGGGGGTGAGGGACCGGTGGCACCGGCCAGGCTCCCCTTCAGGGCCTACCTGGGCGCTACCGCAGGGTCGCAGAGGCCAGGGCGACTGGTTAGGTGTCTCACACCGGCCCTGGCTCACCTCTGCCATCCGTGATTCCCCAGTGGTAAAACGCAGGGACACGGCCCAGGAGGTACCCGTGCGAGTGGCTCACAGAGCTGGAGACCGCAGGCCTGCCCGTCCGGCCCGGAAACCTCACCCTCCCGCCGTCGGCTTGGGATACGGCGTTGGGGCTCCCGCTGGGCTGAGGCTGGAGGTGCAGGGTCTGTGTTTGGCCCTGTGGGCACCGTGGGCTGGCCTGAGCCTCACTTCCCGGGTCCACTGTGAAGCCTGGGCTGCCAGGCCCAGAGGCTGACCAGGCACCAATCTTACTGGCACCGAGGGGTTTTTAGGACACTGAAGCAGGTTGGTATGAGTAGGGTAGATGCCCCAGGACCCCAGAGGAAGAGGGACCAGACATGAATGGTATAGATCAGTGACTCCATTTCCTACTTGCTGCCACCGTGACATCTTCATCTTCGGAAGGTAAGAGATAAGCAGATGTATACAGGGAGGCAAAGATACGAGATACAGACAGCTGCAGGTGGATACATAGCTACAGGTCTAGGTAGATATAAATACAAAGACACAGATAGAAGTAGCTAGCCATAGATACAGGAATGCAGATACAAACAGGCACAGGCAGACGGATGGGGACGGCTCTCCATGGCGGTGGACAGGGCGGCGAAGACACACAGTCCAGGCCCCGACTCGCACTGGGGAATTCCAACAAGCTCGTGAAGTAACCAAGCGACAACCCAGCACCACAGGTCCAAACAGCCACCATGCGCTCCACCTGAAAGAGACCCAGCCCACGGCCCGGGCCGGCCCAGCCCCAGGCCCGCCCCAGGCCCAGCCCCAGCCCCAGCCCCAGCCTAGCATGTTAAAGCAAACCAGGGGTCCTGTCATCTAATAGCTACATAATCGTATGTCTCTAAAAGGACGTTTGAAAGTGTACAGACCCACAATACAATTCGCGTCCAGTAGAATGGATGGGCTTTTATTTTTAAGGATTTAAGGAAAATGAGAACAGGCATTAGTTTTATTGGAGTTTTCCTCGTGACAGTTCTGTATTTAAATACAATGTATCCCCAAGAACTTCACCCCCCATCACTTTCCCATCTCCCCCCCCTCCTCCTCCTCCCCCTCCTACTCCCCCTCTTCCCCCTCCTCCACCTCCTCCTCTCCTCACCATCTTCCTCACTCTTTCAAAATTCTTTTATCTGGTTTTACAGTTCTATTTTCATACTTACATATTTAAAGTATTTGGAGCATGTTCACCTCCCCATACCTGCACGCAAAACAAAGCCTATTCATTTTTTAGTGTATATCATACAATTGTGGTATTTCACACACACTTCAATCCCCACACTCTAAAACTGAATAGGTACGCGTGTGTCCCATGTTCGTGTAGCTATGTAACATCTCTTGACTGAACAGTTTCAATAGTGCAGTGGATACAGGAAGTCTTGTGAAGGCTGAAACTCATTTACTCTGTTGGGTTTTCTTCTTGTATTTGATTGGCGTCTCCCTGATTTGTTTCCAAAGAAGCTTAAAATGCAACCACCCTTACCCCAGGTGGGACTCGAACCCACAATCCCTGGCTTAGGAGGCCAATGCCTTATCCATTAGGCCACTGGGGCTGACAAGGGAACAGGGAGGCAGGTCTTGAACCAATCTCTTATGTAGCTCTGTGCGGTTTTTCTTTTTTCTTCTTCTTTTTTTTCTCTCTCTTTTGTTTTACAGTTCTCTGAACTTTCTGGAATCCTTTCCCAAGCTGATGAACCCTTTAATACTGGGACAGCGAGTGTTTGTGGGGCAGGGACAGGATATACCTACTTTGTGGTGAGTGTTTCCCCAAATGACCAGGTACATGCAGTCAGCTGGGTCCAGGGCTTCAGGGTTCTGGGTTCGAGCCCTAGGAACTCCACTTTCCCTCTGTTAAATTCATGGCGTTCTTGTTTATATTTACCCTCCCTTAAAACCACTGACACCTCACGTTAAGGGAGAAAGGGTGGGGGCCGGTCCCAGAACTCCTCCGATTTTTTCCCAGGTGAATGCCAACAATTCCATTGTCTACAAAGACTCCTCTTTGTATTTTTTTTTTTGCAATATGCAGATAAAAGCTAATACACTCGCCTACTTTGAGCACCGATCCCATCACAAGTGGCTTCTCTGCAGGGTGGGGGTCGAACCCAGGGTCTCGGTGCCGCCCCTGGGCTCCTCAGCTCAAGGCGAGCGCCCTACTACTTGAGCCACAGCGCCACTTCTGGTCTTCCAGTGGTTTATTGTAGATAAGAGTCTCCCGGACTTTCCTGCCCGGGCTGGCTTTGAACCGTGATCCTCAGATCTCAGCCTCCTGTGTAGCTAGGTGATAGGCGCGAGCCACGGGCGCCCGGCAATGACTGCACCCCACCAAGCAACCCAAACCCCGTCTGTCTGTCAGCTGTCAGGGCCTGGGCTCTGTCCGGGGAGAGCCAGGTCTCTGGGCTCCGGGTGCGGAGCGCGGGCTGCAGGTGCGAACACGCACTGGCTTCCCCGCGTCTCACCCGACAAACCCAGATGCAGGAAAACCTTTAGCAGGATCAGGAAAAGATAAGTAACACCGACCACGAAGGGACTCGAACCCCCAATCTTCTGATCCGGAATCAGACGCCTTATCCATTAGGCCACGCGGCCCTGCACCGGCCCTTTTTGGAGCTTTTTGTCCATAAAGCTGGTTTCGGCGCCTGCGCGCGGTGCGCCGTGAGCTGTGATGCGCATGCGCAGAGTGACAGGGTACTGCGCCTGTGCGCAGCGTTCCCGGCGGGCGGAACCGCGCGGGGTTCCGCAGGCGTTCATTGCTCGCCACCGCGCACGCGCGCCCGAGGGCTGCGGGACCCGGTTCCGCCCAGGTCGGGGCTGCAGGGCCCTGCGGGGTCCGCGGGCACCGGACGGACAGCCCCGGCTGGCTGCGCCCACCCACCGCAGCGGGGTTAGCTGCGCCTCCCTGCAGAACGAGCCTCCCAGGAGGAGCGGGGCACCTCTCCCCGGTCCTCCGAAGCCCCGCTTCCCGGGCCTGCTGGCCTCCTGGCTCCGGCACAGCCCGCCCCAGCCCGCAGGGCCCGCTGCGGTCCTGCGCTCCGACGGCAGCGTGAGTGAACCATCGCTATTGCTGGCCTTATTTGACCAGCAGTCGGATGTCAAGTATCATGGAGGGCAGAGCGATCTGAAGACCCACAGCTCCTCGCCCCCCCCCAACCTGGCTGTCCACCTGCCACCGTGGCCACATGATTGGAGGGGCTTATTCCGCCCAGCTGCCCCACAGACCTTCAGACCTTGGGGCCAGACCAGGATCAGCTTGTAGCTCTGTGTGGGCCGTGGCCCGGACCCAGGTGGGGTTAGGTGGGTGGGGTGGCCATATGTGGAGCCGCTGGCAAGCAGGGGCAGAGTTCATGTTCAGGGGTCTCGCCTCTAAGAGCCCTGGGCACAGGGCAGCTTAGAAGCTGGAGTGTCACACCACAGAGCCCAGTCAGCAGCTCTGACCTTCCACCGGGGGCCTGTACCCCCCCACCGGGCCTAGTCTACTCCCCATCTCCTGTCCAGACCACGGTTGGTACTGGCTGACAAATGATGACCAGTCTCAGGATTCATGGCTGTCCACCAGAACCTGGCCCACCTGCCAGCCCGAGAACTGGCTCTACCCAGTAAACCACCAAGACGAGCAGGCCAGCAGGCCTGGAGACACACACACACACACACACACCGCCAGCAGACACCTAAAGAACCGACCAGCTGGAGTGACATTCCCACGTTTATTCAAGGCCCACTCGGCTGAACTCCGCACACAGTACAGGGCAGAAAGCATCGCGTAAAGACTCAGCCTCCGAGTGCTGACTCAGTGCTGGCTTCGTTCGGCCAGGCCACACCTCCGCGGTCCACCTCCTGTCACCACAACCACCTCTGCCACCTCTAGATGGCAGGTGGGGGGCTTTCAGGGCTCAGAGCAGGCAGCTTCCTGGGCTATGACGGCCTGTTCACGGCGACTGTTCACGGCCTAGAAGGGGACGGGAGGCCCCGTGGCTGCACCCGGGACCCACATTCTCCCGTCTAGGGGGCCGAGGCCCGTCGGCGCCCTCCCTGGCTGGCAGGCACAGGGTGAGGGGCGGAGGGCAGGGAACAAAGCCTTCGGCCAGGCGAGGCCAGGGGTGCCTGGAGGAACCTCTGGGTCCTGCTTCTGTCCTCTCACTCCTGCCTCAGGAAAGTGCTGAGGCCCCCGGAAACCGTGAGCAGAAAGGGGAAAGCACCATCGCAGGTGGGTGGCTGTGTTCCTGCGCCCCGATGGGGGTGGGCACACTGGGGTCCCTCCCTCAGGTGCCCAGGTGATGGACAAAGACAGGCGGCGAACTCCCTGGGGAGCAGCTGTGGCCAGAATCGCAGCAAGGCGCGGTGTCCGCGGGCAGGGCAGGTCACCCCACCGGCTGGGCCGTCTTGGCATGGAGGCTCTGGTGGGCGATGAGGTGTGCACGCTGCTTGAAGCTCTTGTCACACTCGGCGCAGCCGAAGGGCCGCTCGCCGGTGTGCACCCGCCGGTGGTCCAGCAGGTAGGAGCGCAGCGAAAAGCTCTTGCCACAGTCGCTGCAGCCGAAGGGCTTCTCGCCGGTGTGGATGCGCCGGTGGTCAGCCAGGTAGGCGCTGCGGCTGAAGCTCTTGCTGCACTGGGTGCAGGAGAAGGGCTTCTGGCCCGTGTGCACGCCCTGGTGGCGCACCAGGTCGGAGGAGCTGCGGAAGCTCTTGTCACAGGCCGGACACTTGTGCGGCTTCTCACCGGTGTGCGTGCGCTGGTGGCGGGCGAGGTCCGAGCCCCAGCGGAAGCGCTTCCCGCACTGCCCGCAGCTGTGCTGTTTCTCCGACGCCAGGTCCCGGAACTGGCGCCTGCGGAGGGGCGGCCTGGCCAGCGCTGTGCCGGGCAGGTTCTCGCTCTCCCAGGTCTCCGCCTTCTCAGGACTCCAGGCCACAGCCGCTTGGCCGCCTGCTCCTCCACCTGCCGGGGCCGGAAGGGCCATGGCCACCTCGGCCAGCCCGGTCTCCACACTCAGGCTTTTGAGCCCCAGATCTGCAAAGGGCAGGGAACCTCCTCAGTCCCACTTGGTTCTGGGGTCACAACTGAGATCAGGAAGAAAGGCAACTTGGGAAAGTTTCCTGGCCTTGAGGTAGGGCTCCGGCCTGCTCCCCTCCTCAAGAGGAGCCTGCTCTCTTGAGCTGCTCTCTTGCAGGGTAAGGCTGAAAGCTGAAAAGTGGGTGTGGGAACAGCTTGGGTAAACTTGGGGAGTCCAGCTGTTCCTGCCTGCGGAGGTGCTAGCTGCTAAGTATGACTATGGCCAGTTCCCCAGCCCATCTGGCAGGCTATAAACTGTCCCAACTCTCACTGGCCAACACAGAGCCACCAAGATGTCATGGCTGCACCCAAGCCACAGGTCCCAGCTCTCCAACTCAAGAACACAAGGCCCTGGATGGGGAGGGAACCCATCCTGCCGTGGCTGGATAAGTCGCCAGGGGCTCACACCTGGAATCCTAGCTACTCCAGAGGCTGAGATCTGAGGATCCCAGTTCAAAGCCAGCCCGGGCAGAAAAGTCCCTGTGAGACTCTTTACCTTCAATGAATCACTCAAAAAACAACAACAGATGTGGTGCTGTGGCTCTAAAGTGGTAGAGCAGTAGCTTTGAGCAAAAATAGCTCAGGGACAGCCCCCAAGCCCTGAGTTCAAACCCTATAACCGCAAAAAAACAAAAAAAATCAAAATAACCCACAATGATCCCAAATGCTGCTGAGAATGTGCTGGGCTTAGAGAGGAACCCCAGAAGGTGAGAAGCAGCCAGCTGATGGGCCAAGTGGTCCCTCAACCCTGATGAGTACCACCTCGGTCCCCTGGCCCAGGTCTCAGATGGCTGAGAGACAGCGCCAGTCAGACCAGGTTGTCAGGACTGAATGAGAACGCACCCTCACAAGACTGAGCTCAGGGTTGGCACAGCATGGCACAGGAAGCTGAGCACCACTGGATTCTCAGAGGCCTAGCAGAGGCTCAGGGCAGACAGGACCGCCACAGCATGGGAGCCCCCTCGGACCCACTTACCTAGAACAGTGTTCCTGGAGCTCTCCTGCTTTATGTCCCAGAAAAGATCTCTCTGAGCTGGATCCAGGGAGCCCCATTCTTCTTGGGAGAAAAAGAAAGGGACGTCTCCCAAGGCCACAGGTCCCTGGGATGAGGAGAGAAGACCCGGCTCAGCCGCTGGCTCTGGGATCCCAGCAGCCGAGGTCAGGACAGGATGGGCTGGATGAAAGTAAGGCCTGTACTGTGCAGACCACCAGACAGCCTCAGAAGACCGCGACGGCAAACTCACATGGGCACTGGTCCCCTCTCTGCCTCTTCCCTCTTTAAGGTGAGCAGGAAGCTGGGCTGAAAGAAAAGAATGGAGCCTCACAGAGGCCAGCCTAGGCCTGGCACTGAGATTCAGAGCTTCCCCTGTACACGGACTTGAATACACACACACACACACACACTCGTGTGACAGCATCACAGAGCAGACACGCTTTGCCTGAAAGGCAGACGCTTACTGTGGCGGCGTGGCTCCCAGGGTACAGGTGGCTGGCTCTGCACCCCCACCACCAGGGGGAGCCTCTTAGACCGGGATCTCTGGACTGCAACTTCAGGCCCCAGCTCCTCTGAGCACACATCCTGCGCAGGGAACACAGCATGGACATCAGCACTGAGAACGGATGGGGGGAGTGAGCTCAGTCCCTGGGAAGGAGGCCTAGCTTAGGAAGTGGGGGTGTGCCGGGGATCAATATGGAGCCCCAAGAAAGACCCGAGAAGAATAGGATACCATGTAGAACTATGTGCCCAAAGACAACTTGTGATCAATCACAAGGCAAGCACCAGTGCCCAAAGGCCAGCATCATAGCAACTTAGCAAGGAAGAAATGGGGGACTCCCCTGCCAAGGGCCAGGACTCTGTACCCCTTTGGGCATTTTACCTTCTCATACCCTTCTGGCAGTCTCAAGCATATCACTGTAATCCCCAAGGTCTGGCCTAGAGCAGAACATGAATAAACATTTGCAGAACATCTGTGGAGCTAACACCTCCTTTGTGGAACTACATTTACCCCATGAGCCACCCAAAAGAAACTGCATTTAGGTTGGACTAAACTTCCACAAATGCTTCTGTGCACACTCCCTCAGGCTCTGTCTCCTGGACCCGCGAGCCTCCCACCGACATCTCTCTCGAACCCAGGTGCTGCAGCTACAGAAGGGACCTCTCACCTGCGGCCAGCCTTTCACTGGCTGCTTCTGCAGGTCCTCCACCAAAGCAACAGCTTGCTCGCCGCTGCCCGGGTGCTGTCCCTGCACCCACGTCTGGATCTCCTTGGGCAGCACTGTCAGGAACTGCTCCAGCACCAGCAGCTCCAGGATCTGCTCCTTGGAGCGCAGCTCAGGCCGCAGCCAGCGGCAGCACAGCTCCCAGAGCTGGCTGAAGGCCTCGTGCGGCCTGCCCACATCCTCATAGCAGAACTGACGAAAGCGCTGGCGGCAGGCCTCCAAATCCCTGCTGTCCTCTGGCTGGGCAGATACCTGCTCCCAGGAGGAATCTTCCACCTTCACAATCAGAAGTCCTTCTCCCTCCCCAGAGGCCTGGTCCTGGGACCCCTGGAGGGATGCCATTCCCTGGCCTAAGGCTCAGGGCTGGCCGGCCTCAGCCCGGGCTCCAGAGCTGACCCTTTCAGTGGTAGCCAAGCTGGCATCAGGACTTGCACTCCTGGGAAAGAACAAAATGGCCGTTTGAGGAAGGGCTGGAATACACAAGCAAGCTTCAGTCTGAGGGACAGGCAGGGACTCTAGCACCTGTCTTTTCATGGCCCTGAAACCTGTGTAGGCTTTTATCATAATGCCCGTTCTATGACTGTCTGTTCTGCTAAGAGAGGCCCATGACTCATATCCCCAACTCTGAAATCCAAATCTCATTCAAACCTATGGATGAGTATCTTTAACCTCCATTTAGAGTAATGCAAACGTTCTTATGTTTTAAGGCAAAAATATAACTATTTGCTTAGTTTGTAAAGACTCAAGATATAATTATGTATTTCTATGTGTACACTATGTTTCAATTAATTTTGGGGGGGGTTTTGAACTCAGGACCTTACTCTTATCAGGTAGTAGCTCTTTCATTTGAGCCAACCTAAAGTTTTTTAAGTATTGTGTTTGATTACTGAGGTTCTCAAATGCCTCTGGAAGTGTTGATATACCATATTTTTCTCAAACTTGAAAACCTCTGAATTTCAAAACATCTGGCCAAATTTGTGAAATACTTTGAGTTGTTTCAACAGTTAAAAAAAATATAAACACCAAAATAAGAAGTTTAAAGAACACAAAAAAAGACATGTAAAACTTCTCTTTTCTTTTGATACTGCCAGTGGGATTCAACATTGAACTCAGGGCTTCTAGCCTGCTAGGAAAACGCTCTAACATTTGAGTCACGCCTTCAAACTCCCCCTGCCCTTTTTTTTTGGCCCATCGTGGGGCCTGAACTCGGGGCCTGGGCACTGTCATTCAGCTCTTCAGCTCAAGGCCAGCGCTCTACCACTTGAACCACAGCACCACTTCCAGCTTTCTCTGCTTATGTGGTGCTGAGGGATTGAACCCAGGGCCTCATGCATGTGAGGCAAGCGCTCTACCACTGAGCCACCTTCCCAGCCCCTTCAACCCCTTTTGCCTTGAATGTTTTCAGAGTAGGATCTCTCTCCGTCATGCCCAAACTGTGGTCTTCTTACTCGTACTTTCTCTTGTCACTGTGCATGACAGACTGACCCAGCCATTCGCTGAGATGGAGATTTTCCTGAACTATTCTGCCTAGTTGCCCTCTAAGGGCGATCCTCCCCGCCCCCCCCCCCCGCATCTCCGCCTCCGAAGTTATAGCAAGGATTACAGGCTTGCGCCACCCACCTGACTTCCTGCGCTTTTAATGAAAATGGGGGACATGTGTGCCTGATGTGTGCTTGCACATGGAGGAGGCCTTACTGCACACACCACGTGGGCTGTGGCTTTCTCGGGCTCCCGCGGGGGGACGCGCCGTCCGGGCAGCTTCCGCGGCTTCTCCCCCACGCGCTGAGCACTGTGTGCACTCTGCTGGGCTTCGCAGAGCCCGGGCCTCACCGGGCTGGCGCTGGCCGGAGCCCCGCGCGGTTCCGGGCAGCCTGGCCCGCGAGGGGCTGAGG